TGCGGGCACGAAGTCCTCGCAGCAGGTGGCGGTCACCGCTTTCCCCTTGGCTCTCCTGCGCGCTTCCTTCTCCCTTCGGGTTTCGCTCCGCCCGCTTCTCTGTTTCCCTTGCCCCAGAGTCAAGTCACTGAACACGGCTGCTGTCGACGATGGAGTCCCCTGTGTTTGTTCCGTGTTTTAGGGTGTCAGGCCCGAGAGCGCAGCGGGGGGCGCAGTCTGAGCCGGTCAAACAGCTGGTTGGCGCCGCCCGCGTCCGGCCCGTCCTGCCCACTGCGGCCGGCAGAGGGCGCCCGGGGCGCCTGCGTCTGGCCCCGCCCTCAGCGGGGGCCTCAGCGCCCCACGGCTCAGGGTCTCGGTGCTTCTCCCCAGCGCGATCCATCGCCCCTTCCTCTGGCCACCCCAAATCTTTGCAGAGGCGAATGGGGTGAGCGTTGTCCTCCTTCCGGCCAGTCCCTCTGCCTGCGAATGCCCATCTCTTGCGAGTAGGCTCCCCTCACCGTCCAGGCAGGAGCCCCACCGACGCCGCCCCGGGCACCCCGCTGCCGGGTGGAGCTGCACCCCGGTGGGCGTGTGCATTCATTGGGCCGCTCTCGGCTGCAAGTGTGGTTACCCCAGAGGAGGCTGAGGCCTGAGAGCTAAATCCTGGGCGGTCTCCCGTGTCTGCGCACCGCCAGCAGCTCGCCGGCCCGCGCTCGGGGCCATCAGAGGCCGGTGGGGAGCGCAGGCTGAGGGTCCGCGCTGGCGGCGAGTGGCCAGTCCCTCGGGGCTCTGCGCACAGCGCGAGGGGCAGCCACAGCCCGCGTGGGAGCTCCACGTGGCCGAGGGCCCGACCCGCCCCGCCCCCCCGCAAGAGCCAGCAGGGTCCAGACGGGTGATAGAGGCGTCAGCTGACCCCGCAGCGGTAACCACGCCCGACGCAGAAACGTGTCAGCTCAGCAGGGTGGGCGCCTGCCACTCACGCCATCACGGTCCACTTGTTACGTGAAACTTCAGTGCAACGCCCCACTCGGTGGACAGGAGTGGGTGGAGGACAGGAAGGCCCTGGCCCGGGGAAGCCCGCCCCTGGCGCCCCTGGCCGCCCCTGGCCGCCCGTCCCCGGCCGTGGGGGCTCTGTGGGCCACCCCCGGCAAAGCACGTCAGCCTGGCGGAAGGAGTGAGGTTTGGGCCGCTCACTGCAGAGCCCAAGTGGGAGCGCTGAGTCTAGAGTGGGGGACACGGAGCCCGGCGTGTGGGAGAAGCCCGGCGGGCGGGGGGCGGGAGGGCGCCCCAGGACCAGGGGGGACAGGGCAAAGGCAGGAGGCGCTGGGCGCTGGGGCCCAGCGGGGCTGCTGAGGCGGAGAGAGGACAGGAGAGGAGACGGCCAGCTCGGCCAGCTCGGCCAGCCCGCAGCCCGGCTGTCCTGAGGGAGGGAGACA